AAGAGCGCCTCTAGATTGGCACGGACACTTTTCCGCAAAAGCATCATTTTCGCGATCAGGGCTTTTTTGCGCAAAACAAATCTCAGCTGTCTACCTTGGCCCTTTTGCGCAAAAGTTTTGCGCAAAAGGGACTTTTGCCCGAATGGGAGCAGCATAGTATTTCCATAAAAAGCACTGATTTCTTACAGTAGGAAGTCAGTACTTTTTCGGAAATTCAAGCGGCCAGTGTAGACAGCTGGCAAGTTTTTCCGGAAAAGCAGCTTATTTTCTGGAAAAACTGGCCAGTCTAGACACAGCCATACAGTTGTGGGATGGAGTAAGGGAAAAAATGTCAACAAGTGTTTTGGAGACACTGTCATGAACCCAGCAGAATCATGATCTAGAACAGGGTGGGCAAAGGCCTGCAAAGGCCCTGCTGCTTCCCCGCCCCCAAGCCATTTAGGGCTTGGAGGAGAGGGAGCACGCAAAGCCTTCTCCACTCTGCCCCCACCCCGCGAGCTGTGGATGACGCTTCAAAGTGCCACATGCTCCTGGCAGGGTGGGAGGAGGCTTTGCATGCTCGCCGTCCCCCAGGCCAATTAGGGCCTCGAGGCAGGGGGGGATACAAAGCCTCCTCCCGCCCTGCCAGGACCATGTGGCGCTTTCGCGCTGCTCGCAGGGTGGGGGCAGAGAGGAGAAGGCTTCACCTGCTCCCCTGCCTCTAAGCTTTGTCTCTTTGGCTATGTCTAGACTGCAGGCTTCTTTCGAAAGCATCTTTCGAAAGAGCCTCTTTTGAAAGATCGCGTCTAGACTGCAGGCGGATCTTTCGAAAGAGAAATCCGCTTTTTCGAAAGAGAGCACCCAGCGAGTCTGGATGCTCTCTTTCGAAGACGGCCTCTTTACATTGAAGAACGCCTTCTTTCGAAAGAGGAACTTTCGAAAGAAGGCGTTCTTCCTCGTGAAATGAGGTTTACCGCCATCGAAAGAAAAGCCGCGTTCTTTCGAAATAATTTCGAAAGAACGCGGCTTGAGTCTGGATGCAGGGGAAGTTTTTTCGGGAAAAGGCTACTTTTCCCGAAAAAAACCCTGAGTCTGGACACGGCCTAATTGGCCTAGGGGCAGGGGAGTGAGGGAAGTCTCCTCCCATGCCAGGGGCATGGGCACTTTGGGGGAATGTGGGGTGGGGGCAAAGGCACTCCCTCATCGTCAGATTAATCATTGTCTGGGGATGAGGAACCCTGAAATATCTTGTCCACGCCCCTTCTGCTCAATGCGCCCTGCCCCGTCCTGTGCGGCCCGGGACAACTTCAAAAATTTCCGAAGTGGTCCCCGGCAAAAAATTATTGCCCACCCCAATCTAGAAGAGTTGAAGGGCTTTTCTTTTTGTACAAGCAAAAATAAGCCAGTAGGAATGCACTACATGTTTTTTTGGTTTCTGCTTTAAATAGGACAGAATGAATTGTCCCACTTAAACAGGATGACAATTTATCAGACTGTTTTTCTCACCAGCTCCTATATTCCCACTTCCTTGCTTGTGTGCAGAGTGTGATGAGGCTGCAATGCTCTGTGAGAGCCTGCTTACTAATACTAATTAGTAAACATGAACTAGGGAAACTGAGTGTTTAGGTCATTTGGTGTAGGTGTGAAATTCTGCGTACTGGTGACAAAAATGCCAATTATTTATAGTTTTAATGTTAAAAAAATCAACAGTCAGCAATGTGGAGAAGTCTTTCAAATATAGCATATGGTAGAATCTCAGAGTTATGAACTCGGGAATGGAGGTGGTTTGTCACTCTGAAATGTTCATAACTGAACAAAACATTATGTATTGTTCTTTCAAAAGTTTATTGCTGAACATTGATTTAATACAGCTTTTCAACTTTTAACACAAAGAAAAAGCATGCTGCTTTCCCTTTAAATCTGTAAGGCTGTGTCTAGACTGCAGGGTTTTTTCGAAAAAAGTAGCCTTTTTTCGAAAAAACTTCACCTGTATCTAGACTACAGCCGTGTTCTTTCGAAATTAAATCGAAAGAACGTGGCTTTTCTTTCGACGGCGGTACTCCTCATTTCATGAGGAATAACGCCTTTTTTCGAAAGTGCTCTTTCAAAAAAAGGCGCTATGTAATGCAAACTGTGCTTTTTCGAAAGAGAGCATCCAGACTGCCTGGGTGCTCTCTTTCGGAAGAAATAGCTTGCTTTTTCGAAAGTACTGATTGTAGTCTAGATGTTCTTTTTTGAAAGAAGCTTTTTCGAAAGTATCTTTTGAAAAAGCCTCTTTTGAAAGTGGCTTGCAGTCTAGACGTAGCCTAATAGTTTATTTTATGTTTAGGAAAGGAAACACTGAAGTCAACATAATCAAACAGGTTGTTAATAACTATTGCACCTGATATGCTAAGCAAATATTGGAGTTTTGCATTCAGTTCTACTGATCTTGAAGATGGTAGGGAAATCATGGGAATTAGTTCTGCGCTAGGCCAGACATTCAGCTTCCCTCATTAACTTCAAATCCCCCGAATACTTTTTGGAAATACTGCAAAAAGAGAAGGAGTGGAGAATAGCCAGGGAATTGAAAAGAGATTTGGAACTGCTTTGTAGTTACCCTGGATACTTTCTAATGCCATGCAAAACTATTTTTCTTCAGATTTACTTGTTCTGTCAGGAGATACTGGAATGTGTTATGCATGTTCTGTAACTCCTGCATGGCAGTAGGAACAATTCTACAGTTATTTTGCAGACTTCCTGATTAAAATATTTCTGCCTTATGTCATCTGATTTCTCTTCTAACTGCTTTCAGTGTTGATTTCCCCCAAAGTTGCCTTTGTCAGAGTTTCTTTGTTTTGAAAATTGTTTTTATTAGGAATTTGTGCTACTTATTAATTAGCATGATGCTAATACATTATTTTAGTATTCTGTGTAGATGGGGACCTTTTTGTTACTGACAGAGGATGTTTTGTACTGTATATGATTAACTACAACCAGCTGAATTAATGTTTTTATTTACACTGAATGCACTTATTGGTCTCTTGTCATTTTTCTGTTCCAGTTCTGCCTCACCCTCCTATGTCTATTCATAATTTCACTATATATATATAGTTCCTCAGTCCTTTTGTCTCTACGCGGGTTCCCTCTTTTTTTTTTTTTTTTTTTTTTTGTTAATGGTCAGACAGTGATTTATGCTCCATTGATCTCCTATTCCCATTGTACTCCAATATTTGTACCTTTGTTGTGCCCTTTATGCTTTGAACAGTCCTGTAAATATATGAGAAGTATCTTACCTTGGAGAACTTGAAAAATTATTTATTTCAGATTTAATTGATCACTGGATCAGTGTGTTCTAGTATTTGATTGCCATGGTTTATGTGTCATAAAGTGCTTGTAGCCTTAAGGTACTATGGGTTTGGACTAAAGATTATAACTGAAGTGAAATTATGCCAAATAATAGCATCTGAGAATTTGTTATATATTATAAGTAATTAGTAATCAAAGAATAAAAGACATTTCCATAGCTGAAGTTTTTCTGCATCTAGTATTGATTTATCTGAGCAAAATAGAAATGGTGTCTACAGTAGTAGGAAAATGATGTTTCATGTTGCATTTATCTGCAAATAATACCCCACTGCAAAGATTTAATTAGCAGTTTGTATTTTTATTATGATCTTTCTTGGGGGTGTTTGTTTGTTTTTTGTTTTTAGTAGAAACCTTGTAGCAGATCAATCATGACCTTTGTTGTTGGGGATATAAATTGTACGGACAGCAAATAAAGGAGGTTTGGATGTTAACTGTTTCCAGATTTCAGTTAAAATTGGATGCTTGTCATTTTACAGTTTGCTACAAACAATGCTATATTTGATTTCCTGTGTCTATGAAGTCTGGTTTTGCAAACATGTTTAAAAAATCTGAAGATAAATCTAAAGTAAAGTTTTGAGGGATGAATAGCCTTAGGTTAAGCAAATAATCCTAGTTCAGTACGTGGCTATGAAGGTGAGCGTGGTTTTTTATAAATCAAATCTTATAATAAGGTCTGTGGTTTGATTAGATAAAGAGAAATTGTGTTTGAGCTTTCTAAACTACAACCTGTTCTTCATTTGATGCTCATTTAGTTTTAATTGAAGTTGATTGTACTAACTGAAGTTAAAACTGTTCCCACATTTCCATCAGACTGTTTTTAAAGAACTTCCCTATATGAATGTTGTTTTGGAAAGAAAGGAATATCATGCCATGAAACCCCCAAAAACCAGCAACTAAATTTAGTACTTTATGATATAGTGATGAATCAAGGGCCAGTAAAATAGTTATCCTATCTGAATCATTTCAGGTAGTAATTTTTTTAAAATAAACTATTTTATAATATCACTTTCTCTTGGAGATACTAGTATGGAGCAGGGCAATTCACTTTGACACTGCTAAGCAGTTTAATTTATCTGAGGAGATTTCTTTGACATTTGGAAATGTTCCCCATGGCAATTATAATTTAAAACGTGCATGCTATACCCAGAACTAGTGGTACCACATTGCACTTTCATATGGGAGAAGTGGGCTTCAATGCTTGTATTTCTCTCTTGCTAGGTTTAAAGGGCTAGGAGTTGCTATGAAAACCTTGAGTGAGGAAGAGGGACTGCTGAACACTAACTTCTCTGAATAATTAGGGATCATGGTGATGGACACTCCTCAGTCTGCTTCTTTTTATGGGTTTTAAAAAGAAATAGAAAGTGAGGCTCTCTGGGGCTCCCAAACACCTGCCACTTTGGTACCTCATGCAGTGAAAAAATAAAATTATATCTCATACATGACATCACTATGCCACTCAAACCTCTAGACTGGTTCCATGAGTTTCTGCACTCTGGCTATTGTTGTATAATGGTGTGTGGGCTTTTGCAGTTATCATTGCTTTCCCTCCTAGAGAATTGAAAATGCCACAGTATTGATTCCAAATAGGGCTTTCAGTTTTTATTTTTTCCCTTTTAGTTTATAACTAAAAGTCAGTTTTCTTTTGTTTCTAATTGCATTTTTTTAAATCTCAGAGATACCACTGTACAGAGCCTTACTTTGCAGCCTTCGGTTAAAGATGGACGTATTACATATGAAGACTCACCACTGGTCAGTATTTAAATTATGTTTATAGATTTGAGAATATATTTCCATTTATAAAATAATGTCAAGTATATTGGAGGCTTCACGATAGCCAAGGAATTCAGAGCTAAGCTATAATATCCTTATCCTTGTGATCTGGGAACTGTAACTTTCATTAGACTATATTATTATTCAGCAACAGAATCCAGTATAGTAAGTAAATTGCCAGTACAAAGGCAACTTTCCCTTCTTGGTATTTACACCTCCTCCTCAGCTGCTATGATTGAGGCGTATCCATCCTGACTGAATTGGCCTCATTAACATTGATCCTGCACTTGATAAGTAACTCCATTCTTTTGTTATACTTGTACTTACAGATATACCTCTGCCTCTGTAATTTCCGCTTCAATTCATCTGATGAAGTGGGTTTTACCCACAAAAGCTTATGCCCTAATAAATCTGTTTGTCTCTAAGATGCCACAGGACACTTTGTTGTTTTCACAATCAAGAGATTACACTACTTCACTTGTATGGGATGAATTGAAAAAATACTAGTTGTTCATCTTTTTTACAGTGCCTATATTTGTAATAAAAATAATACTATAAAGTGAGCACTTTGTCTTCTGTGTTAGAATTGAAATCGATCGATTTAAAAATGTAGAAAACAATTACAATACATTTCGATTGGTATTCTGCTGTTAACCGTACAATTAAAACTGTGATTTATTGTGATTGATTTTTTGAGTTAATTGTGCGGATTAATTGCAATTCATTGACAGCCCTGCTGAAAACACACATTTTTAGTATTAACAGTGCCCATTTCTTTCTTCAGTTTATTAAGCAACAATTTGTTTATGTTTTAATATTGCTATATTAGTTAGGGATGTTAACAGGTAACCGATTAACTGGTAAACATCATCTTTCACTAGAAGCAGCAGTGGCTCTGCCAGCCCCGTGTGGGTCTGCCACTTCCAGCCCCACAAAGTCTTGGACCTGGCAGCCTTGTGTGGGGCCAGAAGCAGCCAGGCTGGAGCAGCCTGTGTCTGTAGCAGGGTGTGTGTGGTTCTCCTTGTCTGGCTGGAGCAACCCCTCCACTCACTCCTGTTTAATCAGTTAACCAGTTAAACTTAACTTTTAACCAGTTAACTAATTAAATGGGATTTTACATCCCTAATATTAGTAACCACTTTCTGCCCCTTTCGTTTTTTTTCTATATTAAATAATAGAGGGCAAATGCAAGATGTTACTACAAGGAATTGAGAAATTAATACTGCAGTTTTGTGTGTGTATGTGTTTGTATGACAGTCCATTTCTTCTGTCATTTAGGTGAAAGCAGTCAAGTTGGGGCATATTCTGGTTATCGATGAGGCAGACAAAGCACCTACAAATGTTACCTGTATTTTAAAAACTCTTGTGGAAAGTGGAGAAATGGTTCTGTCAGATGGAAGGCGCCTTATTGCCAGTAAGTTGCTTTTATAGCCTTTGTAAAACATAGTGGCTGTGGGAAAATCAGCCGCTTTTCCGGAATAAGCTGCGAGCTGTCTACACTGGCCCTTGAATTTCCGGAAAAGCAACGATGCTCTACTGTACAAAATCAGCCGCTATTCCGGAAAAACTATTCTGCTCCCGCTCGGGCATAAGTCCTTATTCCGGAACACTTTTTTCCGGAAAAGGGCCAGTGTAGACAGCCCAGTAGTCTTTTCCGGAAAAAAGCCCCGATTGCGAAAATGGCGATCGGGGCTCTTTTCCGGAAAAGCGTGTCTACATTGGCCACAGACGCTTTTCCGGAAAAAGGGCTTTTCCGGAAAAGCAGCCTGCCAATGTAGACGCTCCTTTTCCAGAAAAACTGAAAACAGAATAGTATTCTGTTTTAAGCAGTTCCGGAAGTTCATGCCAGTTTAGACACAGCCAGTATGTTTCCATGTTCCAGCAATTGCTTTTACTATGAAAGAGCCTCTTTCCTCAAAGAAGAGGAAGAACAGCTCTTGCGCAAGAGGGTTTTTTTGTGCAAAAAGAAGCCATGTAGACAGCTCCTTTTTGTGCAAAAGCCTCTTGCGCAAAAAGTGGCTGCTCATTAATTATGCAGATATGGCACAGCAATATTCCATGCTTCACCTCATTTGCATGTTTGTTGCGCAAAACAGCACAGTACAGACGTAGCCTTGCTGTGCAAATGTTAGCAGTTAATTAGTGTTTAAAGTATAGTACTTTGTAGAAAAACTCCGTAAACTTGTCTGCTGGACACCATGTCAATATTTCAGTTGTTACTGTTATGAAAACTTTGTCATTTTACAAGGCAAAAAGGAGGCTTTTCTTGCTTGGCAACTAAATTAAGTTGAGCTCTGCCTTCAACACTTCAAATAAGGATGCATTCGACCAAGTCCTCTAGGTAACAACTGTGTAGTTCTGTTGTTTACAGCATATTTTGGCCTGTGATATCCTTATCTTAGATTTTGAATTTGCGGTTAGCAAAAATGATTGCGTGGGGTTTGGTTTTGTTCTTTTGTTTTTTTGCTGTTTTAGTTGTACGCTGACAAAATTTCATCATTGGAATTTATCAACTAGAAAAGGAAAAAACTGAAAACACGGAATTTTTACAGTTATTTTTTGGAGCACAGCTGTATTTAAAATGTATGTTTACTGTTAGTCAATGCGATGTTATATGCATGATGAAAATAGAGGATTTTTTTTCTTTGAAATAGATTAGGAACACTGATTTAAGTATGAATGAAGTAATTATTCAGTATTCAGGTGATACAACACCAGAATTATACTGAGTAACCACAAATCTCAAGGGAGTCATTTAAAAGAAATTGTGTCTGGCTCTTTAAAACCTTGATTGTGTAATTGTGAGAGGTTTCCTGTGGGTATCTATCAGTAAAGGTGTGCTGCCAGGGTGCTGGTGGAGAAGCCCAACCTGAGCCAGTTAGCACATTTTCTATACACATGGTTCTGGCCTCCCTCAGGACTTGTCACCACTATGGAGTGGATCGACACTACTGTGATCAATTCACCAACTGTCTATTTAGCAAGTCTAGTAAAGATCCACTGAGTGATTGCTGATCAGTCTCCTGTGGACTTTGGTACTCCAGCAGGACAAGATGAGAAAGAGGAGTTTACAGGAGAGTTTTTTCTGTCGACACAGTGCAGTGTAGACCCCATGGTCAGAGCTTTCTTAACCTCCCCCTCTCCCTCCTCCTCCCCACATGCCCTCCGAGCGAGAAATCCGAGCTGCATGGTGGAGGGTAGTGGCTGAGCTCAAGCTGTAGACCGCCTGTAAGACGGCCGTGGACCCTTGAGAACCATTGATTTAAATTATGTTACTAATGTAACTGAAATTGTGTAACTTAGATCAACCTGCTCTTGTAGTGTAGACCTGCTCAGAGATTTCCAGGGCCCTTCAAGATTATGGACACCGTTTTCTGTATGAGAGCAAACCACAGATTTTGTCTCCCTCTCTCACACAAGGCAGTGTGTGGAAATCTCCACAGGGGGTTTCTAATGAATATTTCCTGTACCAGCCTTCTCCCACAAGTTTTACTGAAGGCACAAGTTGTTCTGGTTCTGAGAAATTCAATGCATCATTGCCCTTAGAACAAATTATTCATATAGATTTAGAGTCCAACACTTTATGAAACAAAATAATTATAGGCAAGAGCCCAGAGCTGTCATAGTGAAGCAACATGCTGATAAAGCCTCTTGTGCTTTTTGAAGATGTATATATTTCTATTGTTTGGTTCATAAATTGCAAAATTAAAACATTTTTAACAATCTATTTTTGCAGATCCTGCTAATATAGATGGAAGAGAAAATATAATAGTAATTCATCCTGATTTTAGAATGATAGTACTAGCAAATAGACCTGGATTTCCGTTTTTGGGTAATGATTTTTTTGGCACACTAGGTAAGTGATATGTATTAAATGGGAAAACTGTAAATCAGATATATGAAATGCCATTGGATGTGGGAAAAACACTAGCTTTCTTTGTTTTACTTGATCTCTTGGTGAACGGAAGCATGGGGTAGCTGTAGTGGGGAAAAGATTGCTAAATCAATTAATTTGGGGCCCTGAGGACTCATAGTTTCAGACATGACCCTGTTTGGGATGGACATCAACACATCAAGAAAGTAAGTTTCACATATGTCCAGTGAGCAAGGACAATCCAGGACTCTTTCAGGAAAGTGGTCCTCAAGATCAGATATAATGCCACCCTCAGGGGTGTCCATGTTGTAGACCTTTTCCCAGTGAAATTCACTTAGCAGTGCTGGACCAGGATATATGGTTAATATTTCCTCTCTTCCTGCTCACATGAGACTGCTCAAGTGCTTTCCCACTGTCCATATTGGTACTTCATAGTAACAAATTGGTCTTTTATAACTGTCCTTATTCTACCAAAAAAGTGCCCCCTTTCACCTAGGCATGACACCCTTCCCTTCTGATTTTCCCTATTCTGAATCTAGAATGGAAAAGACCTTGTCTCTTTGACTTCAGAAGCATATTCAAGGTGCTATTAGACAGGTTAGATACAAGTTAATAGATTTATTTTTTCATTCTCTTCAAGATTTTAAGGGAAGGCTTCCAAGTGTCCAGATACTGTGGCCAAATGGATTGGGTCTGGTTTCCATAGGCCTTCAGAAATTATCCGTGTACTGAAATGTACTGTCTTTTCCACCTCCTTGACTGAGGGAAGTGTGGTAGTGGACAAGCTTTTCAAAGCTACCTCCTGTGGTCTTTCCTTTGGCACTATCAGATAGACGGACAACCAGGCATTTGTGGAAACAGCACTTACCTAATAGAGTGCTTAAAAAAAGACTTCATGAACAAGTTCTCTTTTCAGGGGAACTATAGTAACAGGTCAGAGATTCCTGTTCCATCTTTGGGGTGAGGGCTACCTTGCCTTCAGGTATTTCTAATGTAGCCTTAATTCTCATTATCATGAAGAGCAATTAAAAAATTTGTTTTCAGTCGGCGGGTGCTCAATACTTCTCAAAGGCTTTCAGGGGTTTTCCACTATCTTAGATTGGATATAGTATAAGATCTAAGTGTTATTATTAACTCTCTTTTTATAAAGGCTGATATATATGCTATATATATGTATATATATATTTTTTTATTTTAGGGGATATTTTTAGCTGCCATGCAGTTGATAATCCCAAACCGCAGTCTGAACTGGCTATGCTTAGACAGTATGGACCGGATGTTCCTGAGCCAATCCTTCAGAAACTGGTAGCTGCTTTTGGAGAACTGAGAAGCTTGGCTGACCAAGGAATTATTAACTATCCTTATTCAACCAGAGAGGTTGTAAATATAGTAAAACATTTACAGGTACAATATGCATTATCTTGAATTCAAAAGAATGCAACAAATTAAATGAACAGTAATGCACTATACTTTTTGGAAAACCTTCAAATATAACGAATTTTGTTTAAAGTGATAAATCAAACTTTTGGATGTAAGGATCTGCCCACAACTACATTTAGAAAAAGTAATAATCTCTAGATGCTCAGATAGTACATTGATGGGGTCTTATGTGTTCCTTGGTAGTTAGATCTTTGTGAACATTTATTTGTAAGTGTGTACAATGCATACAGTACATTTTTATCTTTCATTGTGTTCTTTGTGTGTAAGAGAGAAAGGGAGCCTATTATGCATTGTTCTTATTATCTATCTGAAGGAATTCCCTGTGCTTTTATAAGAATAATATAAGAGTGATTTACCTGCTATTTCGTTTTTTATTTACAATGACTTTATGGGAAAATGAACACTGTTGCTTAAGAATAATAGATCAAAAATCAGATGTTATTGTCAAAATTGTCACATGAATATACTCTTGGCAAACAGTTGCTTATATACCTTGACTGCCTCACATAGTCAATTTCAGTGCAATATCCTGAATTCTGATTAAATAATAAAATTAAAAGGTTAGAGTTAGGTTCTGATCTCTGCTAATAGAATAATTGCTTTATATCTTGAAGCATATTTGTTGCTTATTTGAAATAAAGAATACAAATATTTTTACTATTTAAAAACTATGATGTAGGTAATGTAATTATTATAGTACTGTTCCTTAGATTTATGATGTTATAGTGTTACATTTATATTTATTAGAAATATTTTTGTAATAATTATTTTAATGTTTCTTATTGAAAATTCTTTGGGACAAGTGCCATTTTTACATGTGTATTCAGACAGCACAATGGAGCTGTGTGATGGTGGGCCGAAGGGCAGAGGGTGTCATATCTGTGTGTGTATGTGACTTAGGCCACATCTACACTACAGGGGAGGGAGTAGCTGGAGTAGACATACCTTAATTCAAATTTTCCGCTGTCCCCATAGTGGGAGGCCGACAAGAACAAATGCTCCCGTCAGCTTCCCTTACTCCTTTGAATTTGATTTAGTGGGTCTTTACTAGACCCACTAAATCAAACTCTTGAAGATTGATCCTGGAAGCCACCAATCTTCCATAGAGTGAAAACATGGCCTAAAATATGGTTCAGACATATTATATTATTTCTAAGTTACAATGATACTTGTACCTAGTACTTCTAGATTTCTAGAGCAGAGACTTTGTCACTCTTCAGCCTTAGTTGTATCTTTGGAACTACTGCAGATGAGGCCTTTGGGTGCTAGTGTTATGTAAATACAGCATAACAAAGCTGATAATTAGAAAGTTTATGAATTAATAACTATCCTGGACAGAATAAACTACACGTCTAAAAGTTGAGGTCTTCCCATCAAATGAACTTGAATGTTATTGGGCAGGCCATAATGATTTACTAGATTAATAGAAACTAGTATCATATTATTAGTAAAATAAATAATGAAAGTGAAATGAAAGAGGAAAGAATGGACTGCCAAACTGTTGAAAGGCAGATTTGTTTAGAACAGTGGTTCTCAAAGTGCAGTCCATGGATCACTAATGGTCTGCATCCGCCATACAGGTAATCCATGGCTCAAGCTCAGCCTCTCCCCACACACACAGTGGGGAGTCTGCGCAGCTGCTCCAGCCTTGGAGCTCCAGGCTGGAGCACCAGCTCTGGCTTCCTCCTCAGAGGGTTCGTTGGGGAGGGACATGTGGTGAAAAAAGCCCCAACCTTCCCCGTCATACCTAGCTCATGCAGAGAGGTAGAGAAAGCGGTTCCATGTGCTGCTGCTCCGCCCCCTCCCCACCCCGTTGGGGGAACGGCAGCATAGTGATGTTGTCTGGAGGATTTCCCCACCAATGGGAACAGTGCAAAGCCATACTTGGGAGTGACGGGGCATGAAGCCAAGTAAGCACCCTCACTTATGCCCAGACCCCCACGTCCCAATTTCCCTCACTCCCCCTGCCAAGAATCCGCACTCCCAGCTTCCTCCTACACCTTCCCTTGCTCTTGCATCTTCCCTCCTGGCCACACTCTGCACTAAGGATGTTAAATATCGAGTAATTTATTAGTCGATGGAATTTCCATCAACTACTCAACTAGTGGATAGGCACTTGTGCATGCAGACCAGGTCCAGCAGGAAGTCCCGCTGCTCAGGGCTGCTTGCGGGTGCCAGCTTTGAAATTTGCATGAGTCCTCAGTGGAAGCTCTTGTGATTTCAAGGCAGAAGCACCCTCATGAAGCCTAGGGTCAACAGGGGGACTCTGAGTCCCCCGCTGACCCGGGCTCCATGCTTCAATGCCACGCAGAGCCTGGGGTCAGCTAGGGACTCCCCAGCTGATCCCAGGCTCCACGCAGCATTTCCCCAGAACCTGGGATCAGCTGGGGACTCCCTAGCTGACCAAGCAAATGCCATGGCAGCATTTCAAAGGAGCAGCACCGCATGGATCCTAGGGTCAGCTTTGTGCGGCGCTGCTTTGAAATGCTAAAGTGGCAGTTCATGGGTCAGCTAGGGACTCCCCAGCTGATCCCAGGCTCCACGCAGCATTTCCCCAGAACCTGGGATCAGCTGGGGACTCCCTAGCTGACCAAGCAAATGCCATGGCAGCATTTCAAAGGAGCAGCACCGCATGGATCCTAGGGTCAGCTTTGTGCGGCGCTGCTTTGAAATGCTAAAGTGGCAGTTCATTTCAAAGGGGCAGTTCTGCACAGCTGAGTCCTGGATCAGCTGTGCGGCGCTGCCCCTTTGAAACATTGCCACAGCATTTCAAAGCAGCAGTGCTGCATGGAGCCCAGGTACATGCTCTGTGTGGCGCTGCCACTTTGCAGTACCTCCTCTTCCCCTCTCCCCCCTCCTTTGCTGCTTTTACCTGAGGCGGAGAGTCAACTAGTCCTTGTCATCCTTAATCTGCACCCTCCCTTGCTCCTGTCCACTCACCCGTGGCCAGACTCCCTACCCCAGACTGCTTCTGTACCCTCTCTTGCTCCTGTACCCTTTCTTCTGGCCAAATAACCTATCCCGAACCCTCCTTCTAGCGCCCTCCCCTCTAGCCAGACACTCTACCCCCATCCTGCCCTGCATCCACCGTTGCTCCTGCACCCTCCCTTGCTTTTGCTCCCTCTCCCCTTGCCAGACACACTACTCCCAGCCTGCTTCTGCACCCTACGTCCCACCCAGACCTTGTACCCTCACCCCCTCCTGCTCCCTACCTTCTGCCCAGATCCTGCAGCCCCATCCCTATCCCACTTGCTGGCCACCCTGTCCCACACACTGAACCCCTCATTTTTGTGCCCACCCGGGAGCCTAACGGGGTCCACAAAATCAACTCTGGAACTCCAGAAAAGTAAATCTGGATTATGGGAAGCCCTGAACCTCAGTTCTCCCTGTCCCTCCTCCTCGCCCCATAGGGCTGGAGCACCAGAGGAGTTGTGAGGTCACATCAGTGAGGGTTGGGATATTTTGGGAGTTTTTTTGCTTCTCACTTGTGTGGTCTCTGATTGATTTTTGTGTGTGTCAGTGACCCCCAACCCAGAAAGGTTCCCACTTCTGTCATAAATAAAGAAAACATTGAAACCTTTTGTGTTGGACATAAATTAATATTTTACTTTATTTAAAATGAAATTTCATAAACTAACACGAGAAAGTTAAAATGCTTAATCTGTTTAATAATTTAAATTAAATCATTCTTCCTAGCTGCAGCACTAGTGAAATGGCTTGGGTGTAATTATGTAATTAATGGTGAGTATCAATTAGCAACTGGTGGTCCACAGAAAGGTTTGGATTGAGCCAAGTGAGCTATGGGCCAAAAAGTGTGAGAACCACTAGTTGAGAAGAAAGTACCCTTTTTGTTCTTCCTTAATGCCATAGCCACAAATAATCTGTAATTAGCATATATGTTGTACTGGCAAGCATCACCAAATAACAATGTTACACAGTCTTGTAAAGTTGTTGTTGGGATTTTTTGGAGGGAGCTGGGGGGGAGGGGAGGGTTGTTTTTGTAAACACAAGAAGTGCTCTGCATTGGTTTGTATTCTGGTGCAAGTTGTTTTAGGAACGCTGTTGCCAGCAGTATGAGAATTGGTTCTCTTCCTCATTTTCCCTCCGTGAAGTCAATTATGAATGCAGAATTGCTTTTGGGGAACAGGGTATTAGTATGTGGGCTGGAATTTCCAAAAGAGGGGTTTGTCTATGTGCCTTTTATGCCCACTTCTGTTGAAAGACTAATGCATGTAGTGTAAATACACAAGTTGCACTAAGTAAATATGCAGATTGCTTCACCGAGTTCTCCTTCATAGAAAACCAGTGTCCAAGGCCCTGCCAATCTGCTACTACTTAGCAGAGGGGCAACATTTTACAGTAAACTATGTTTTAAAACTGGCAAGAAAAGGAGGAGGTGGGATTAAACTAATGTAAACAATCAGTGTAAACAAATATATAAATTATTCTGGAGTAAGGACCTTGCAGGTAATCAGTGAGGAGGGAAGGAAGGAGGGAAATGAGTCAATGAGCACTGCTGGCCTGTAGGAAGAAAAGAGGGAAATTAGTCATATGGTTAAACAATTTATTTTACAGCAGTTCCACAGCCCCACTTTCTTTGTTCTAGTGTTGTTTTCTTTCATGAAATTTTGGAATTTTTCTGTGTGCTGAAAAGAGTAAGAAGCTAAGACAATTTCTTTGTTGTTGGCAGAAAACCTGAAAATGTTGTGTGTGTGAATCAGAAGTAATAGTAAGGGTATGTCTACACTTCTACCCTCTTTCGAGAGAGGGATGCAAACGAAGACATTTGAAATTGCAAATGAAGCCAGGATTTATATATCCTGTGCTTCATTTGCATAATCGCATTATGGCGCTATTTCAAAATAACAGGCGCTGTTAAGACACGGTTATTTCGAGAGAAAACCCTTCTCTCGAAATAACCCTTATTCCTCATACAATGAGGTTTACGAGTTATTTCAAGAGAAGGGTTTTCTTGTGAAATAACTGCACCTTAACAGCGTTTTTTATTTCGAAATAGCGCTATTTCGAAACAGTGCCATAATGCAATTATGCAAATGAAGCACAGGATATATAAATCCTGGCTTCATTTGCAATTTCAAATGTCTTCATTTGCATTCCTTTCTTGAAAGACGGTGCAAGTGTAGACATACCTTAAGTGATTATACAAATCTCTGTACTATGACTGTCAGCCAATCCAAGAGTGATATGCAGACTCTATGATTATGGAGACATAACGTATAGAGATTATGAAAATAAGTCACCCACAGACAGCAACTGAGCAGTGAAATTTAGCATGCATATTGTTAGTTCTGTATTTATTGTGTTTGTTGCTTGTTATATTCTATCTAGCAACACTAAAAGGATGACTGATAGAGCTCAACTACTCAGCTCTATGAATCTGATGTGCTGTTTTCTTTAATTTCAACAGAAGTTGTGTTTCCAGGAAATAATTATACCATTTGTTTTGTTGCTTTATGACAAGTAAGCATAGCATTTCTCTCTCAATTAATGGAGATATATGTGCAATGTACAATAACTTAATAGAAGTATTTAATAAGATAAATGTTGGGGTTTTGTTTCTGTGCAGAAATTTCCAACTGAAGGACTTGCAAATGTGGTTCGAAATGTGTTCGACTTTGACTCCTACAATAATGAAATGCGTGATACTTTAATCAGCACTTTGCACAAACATGGGATACCTATTGGAGCAAAGCCCACCAGTATACAGCTGGCCAAGGAGTAAGACTAACTTAATATGTATTAAGAACATTTGTCTCTATCAGCCATTTTTCGCTTTTATATTGCTGCTAACAACCTGAGATACTTGAAACTAAATACTTTTCTGATTGAAATAAATGACAATTATATTTTACTGATCAGTTTAGTAGTTATAACTTACTATTGTTTCATCTCTGTGTAATTTCCATGTACATGTAAATAGTATGTCTGACAAACAGATACAAACAAATAAAGGGAAATATTTGTTTCTTTCTCCGTCTGTGTTTTTTATTGGATTACTACAGATGTTTTCCTATTTCCCATTAAACTAAGAAGCAGAACAAATCCCTTTGTTTGCAGTTGGAGCAGGAATTGGTCCTTAATCTTCAGCCCTATAAAAATACATCAGCATAGCATGTCAGAGCACTTAGCTGTCCATGCAGGCAACAAGAAAGGTTGTAATATTTGCTTGTATCCAGAGCCCCATTCGTGTTTAATTGTCATGGCCTTTGACTGAATTTGTGATACTATGTACTATTTGAGAGATCAGAAATACAACGGCCAGTTTTTTAAAAATACTAAATTATTAAGTCACGGTTCAGCTCCTACCTTTGCACTTCACATGAATGTTGGTTTTTTTCTGCCTTGCAATAATATATTATTTGATATATAAACATAATTAAGAACAATTTAAAAAAAAATTCTGAGATGTTTTGAAAAATCTAATAAATCTTTAAAGGATTCTCAGAAAAAACAAGCTATTAAACCAGTCAAGGAACTGTTTATGGAGAAACAAATATTTCCCTTTTACAGTAAAGCAAAGCATGGGTTATATAAAATTCAGTTTTACATAGAATTATGCTATTTTTATGTTTGCTAAGAAGGAGCTGAGCTGACTCCACTGACAAAACATCTTTATCAGTTGTCACTGTTTAGATTTCTCCTGCAGGAGCACTCCTATAATCATGCTAGCAACTTACATAAATGTTTTGAAGGAGACAGACAGTCGAATGACTATGGCATAATTTGTCATCCTGATGCCTGAGGAATCATGTGTCTGAGAAACTCAGTGCCTGAGAAGCTACCATATGCATCAAGATGACAATATACCCCTGAAACTGGTGCTGCAATCTCCATAATTTACTTGTGAAGAATAATTTGTAAATTCAGTTTTGAAAGATTATAAAGTGTGTGTTGAGTTAGAGAGCTTATATTTGATAAATTGGCATTTTATTTAATTTAAATAAGGATTTTAGAATAGTAAATATATAATTTACTTTTATTGGATATGATCTTAGCCATGAAGGTCATAAACAGACTCGGAGATGATTAGATTCAGAGTGCAGCATATTGTAGAGAAAAATATCATATTTGAACTTCCCCAAAGCTCAGAAGCATTCATATCTAGGGTTTTTGGTCTAGGTCTACTTTAATTTTTTTTTTAAACATTTTGCAGGAATTTGAGAGAGCAATAATCATGTGTCTGAGTGCTATGAAAATATCTCCATATAGTTTTGCCACTGTATTTCAGTCCTAATTTCCAAGATTCCTGATTACCATGAATTAAAATGTGGTTACCGCACATATTAAAATATTTTGAATGTTTTATTTTAGTATACAGAGCTTCTCATATGTAGCAGAGATGAATCTTTATTCCATATCGCTTTATCCAAGGGACTTCTACAGGATCTTTCAGGCAGGAGTTATTACTTCTACCATGAATCAGAGTGAAATGTACTAGCTGAAATGTGCATGCTAGGCACATGAACACCAGTCGGGTATTACGCAGCAGTTTAGGATATGATACGCCAAAGAAGGCTGTATCCAGTTAAACCTCAGGGTGAATTCAGGGAGGCAGAATGCAGTCATCCATTTTAGAGTTTTTGCTTGGAATTTGGAATGAATATACCTTGCTTGGACTTTGGAATGAATATGCCTAGTCTTGTGAAAAGGGTTGGGAGATCATTAATGACCAATAAAAAGGGATTCCTGCAATATGCGTTGTTCCATTGAAGCAATCAGGGTAGCCTATAGACTCTCTCTACCTTTCTCCAAAGCTAAGAATGATGATAATCCATATTCTATGGTGTCAGACTTTTTGGTATGAGATTTTGGAGCAGGTTATAAAACTTAAAAAACTTAGAGCCCTCAGAGAAATTAATCGTGTTCAGAGACCAGCAAACAAAATTATAACCTCCTCCAAAAGCTGTTTCTCCAGAAGACAGACTGACTAATTAGTCACAGATACTTTTGTGGAAATGCACTTAACTATGAAATACTCTAAATTGGTGAAAATTCAGCATGATTTTTCAGTTAATTATTAATGGCCCAGTCAATATTTTTTTTAGCTAATTTAACTGCAAGTGTTTTTCTCGTGTATATATAATTTTAAAAAAATGTATTAAAAATGTATTTTTCTTGATAATATACATCACATTTCTTAACAGTGATCATTTTAATTCAATGATTTCAGTATACTTTCCCAGACATTAATGAATCAATTTACAATAATATCCTGGTAAAATAGTTATATATAAAAGATTGCTTCACACACCACTGAAAGTCAATCACTTCTGCAGCAATTGTTCAGGACAAAAAGTGAAGAAAACTACCATAGTGAATTGAAACTGTCAGGGAAACAAGACCCAAGATGGAATTTGGCCAGGGTACCAGATTCACACAGTGAAACTCGCAAATGCTTTGAGGTCTCTAATTGCTCTCTGAAGGACAGCATCTCTAACAAATGACTCCTAACACTATTCTGCACGTTGATTCACTACTGGTACAGGAAGAAGAAAGCTATTTATCAAGTCACCAGCATCACATCTTGTAGCATATTTTTCTTTGGATCTTGCTCCTAAGCACTGAATAAATAGGACTCTACCTACTTTGAGATCTTGCATGATGATAGTAGCATATCATCAGGGCATGAGTTCCATATGTTGCTTTGAAAAGGTATCTTTTGTATATTTTATGTTTTTGTCTTTTTAATTTCACTATGCTATTTTGGAAATATTAAATAGGATCACCTAGTTGGGCTTCTTTAAGCCATTTGTTATTTTATCATATCTTCTTTAGATCTCTAATTTTGTATAGCCCATTTCAATTTTAGAATAAGCTGAACTTTTTTCTAATTGTGCTGGTTTGACAGTCCTTCCTTAAAGTTAATCTGTGGTCAGATTAGTGACAGGTCTTGGCTCCCTCAATTTTGTGAGTTGGCTGAGATTTTTTTGGTATTGCCTGTCAAGCAAGAAGTGGGAAAATATAACTCTGTTTTCTTTGCTCCCCATCTAGTAGTCCCCAGTAAGGCAAGGTATCTTTAGGAACTTTACAGATGTCTTTTTATACACGTAGAGTTGTAGAATTGATGTTTATAAAGGCTAGAAGACTTACCTATATATCCTCTTCTTAGAAAGTAATTATTATAATTGGTCCCCACTGGAAAGCTATTGGTTTTTAGCTATGGTTTTTCCTTTTGATTGATAATGCAACTGGAGGCTGTGTACAAAACAACACACATCCTGGCCAGCATCCTGGGCCAGAGGTTCTTGAGTTCCCCCGGGGTGCCAGCCCAGCCAGAGGCAGTAGTGAAAAAAAGGAACTTGCTAGCCAGAGACTGTTGGCGAGCTTAGTGATCCGTTCAGAGGCTCAGTATACATTTTGTCTGATCATCATGCTTGCACCTCTTCTCCCCTCCATTGTTGGGCACTGGATCCCCACCACTCACAGTGTGTGGGTGGGCAACTGGCCAGAAAGGATCTGGCCAGCAGTAGGATCCACCAGTTCTAGGAGATCCTCTCAGATCTGGTTAACTAAAGGAATTAAGCTTAATGGAAAACACAGCCTGTCAAGCTGATTTAAATTCAGCCCAAATTGCATCACCAAAAAGTCATTAGCATTTTATGTCTGAACATTGAAATGCTTTGGTGCTTTCAATCCATTTTCTAATTCAATATCGCGAACCTGACCTTTGGCAACTTTACTGGGAGCCTCAGCAAATGGGCCCAGGACAGAATGGGTATGGTGATAGATCTACTCTCTACATGGGAAGAGCAATTATTAGAATATTTCCTTTTTGTGCTGTTCAGAAAGATTACAAAATATAATTATTCATTCCTACAGTTGGAATAGAGAGAGATTAGTAACTTCTCCAAAGTTCAGGGATGCTAGAGTTTTAATTAAGGCCCCTCTCAGACCAAAATATCTAAAAGAAACAAACATCCTTTAATTGCACAGCCTATTATTTTAAATTCTAACTGTAGGAACAGACACAAATAGAACAAGAGAGATCAAGCATAGACTTAATAAACAGTTTGAGAACTTACTTAAAATAGACTTCAGAGATGTATTTTTAGAAGGAGGGAGATGGGATGTCTTCTATTCTCATGCCAAGTTTTGTAGTTGTGCAATAACGTAAGAGGTTTAAATAGTGTTCAAAAATGTCTTGCACATGCTCTCAACTTTCTTTACGCTAAAAGCTAATTAAATACATGCTACATACCAACTAATCCCAAATAAGAGCGACCAAAAGGCAGTCTTCTGATACTGGTATGTAAGCATATCAGTTCATTCATTTTAATGTAATTACTCTGCATTAACAAAACTTTACATCATTGTATTAGTAGTTGAAAATCATTTGGGAGAGAGAGCAAATAGAGGAAAACCTAAATGCTGTATTTTCTGTGAAACTATTTTATATATCAATATTTTCAGTTATTACAGAAATGTATTTTTGACAGTAGCTCAGCTGTTCTCTTCCCTAGTGAAAAACAAATGGAAACAAATGAAAACATCATCAAGGTTTAGACAAATTAACCCCAACTTTTCTGCATAGTTGGCAAGGGTTATGTTGTGAGCTTGTGTCCATGAACAGTAGTGGAGGCTAAGCATCTATGAGAAACTTGGCGCCTGCCATATAGATAGTCTTCACAGGATATGTAAAAGGACCATCCTTCTGGACTTTCTTGTGATACAGTCCAATTGTGGCAGCATAGGCAATTAGAATAGAGCCATTGTCTGCACTGTGTGACCTATCCAGTGGGTGTTGGAGAACATACTACAGCAATTAATGCTACTTCTTGCAGCAATAACCTGTTGCCTCATTTGCTATACCCATTATGCAGTTTTCCTTGAGAAGCACATCACTTAGTAGAACTTCTCTCACTCATTCTGGCATCCACTTTGAACTGAGTTAAGTTGATCAAGGGAGCACTGAATATGTGTCTCTAAATGACTCAGCCAACTTGGACTTCAAATTAACAGACTGAGAGTACTTGTATTTCAGAACATTAAAATTTTTGGCATTTAAAAGAAATTGAATGCTTCAGCAAGGGAGCATTTTCCACAAGGGAATTTTCAAAATAGCGTGTTAGAATAACTCTGTGGTTATATGATTGCAAATTAACAAGGATAAATGTTCCTTGTTCATATGTTGTTTGACAGACTACCATTACCAGACCATACATTTATGGGCTACTGGAGAATCAATCAATCAGGGAATGCAAAGCCAAAACTACTGTGTCCAACGGAAACTCATCAGTTAAATATAAAGGTTTGTGTCTTTTTAATGCTTAAAAATATTGATTTGTTATTTTTACAGCAAATATAAGATCACCCTGATCATAATTTAATAAATAGAAGTTGTCACTCATTTTCTGCAGAAAGAAGAATTTGAGTTGATTTTTCTAATGAAATAAAAGCTGTTTTAATTGTACAGATTTAAAAAATAGACTTATTTTATGTATTCACACTGCAAGTTGAGTTGCTGTGGGGACCTGTCTTGTAATCCCTCCATATTCAGGACATAAAAAGCAAGGAGTACTTTGATTGGAGTGGGAGGATTTTACACGGTGGAGTTCAAAAGCTCTTGCAGAGTTTTTGCTGTGAAGGTGACAATGTCATTTTTAGAAAAGTCCAGAAACAGTCATGGATGTGTGGGGAGGTCCAGTTTCAGTCCCCAGATCACAATTCATCTGAATGAGATCTAAAATGGAGAAGAGCCTGTATTCTAGCTTAATTTCACATGCAGCAGAGTTCTGAATTTTTCTCTCTCTCAAATCTGAATCTTTGATCTGACTTTGCCTCCAGCCTGAATCTTATCCACATCTTATACAAATCCAATATCTTGCCCTGTCTCTATCAATTATTACGTGTGTGTGTGGGAGGGGGGTAGTTAATGTAATGTTACGTTTGATATTTTAAACCTTCCCTAATCAAAAAATACAGTGTGATGTTTCTTTGCAAATATGCAATGTGCTCAAGATTGATCAAATGCACTCTAGGCAGTGTGACCTCTACTCCATGGGATTAAAGATCATGGTTCCAAACATCCCCCATTACTAGATGGATGTTCTAGTTGACATACATAGCCCTCACGTGAGGGGGACAGCATAGCTTGTATATTATGGGGGAAATGGTGATAGGATCTTAAGAGCTCCGGGTGGGATGCAAAGAGCTTACAAAAAGAGCAGTCTGGTTTCTTATTAAACATAAGCCATCCTCTCCTGTTTTTAATGCTTGGTCTGGCATTTAATGCTAAAAGCAATAGAAACCGTTAGGAAAACTAGAGTTTATAAAGGTTGGTGAGTGAAATAAAATACCTCATCCTCATGCTTTTGGCTTTCTTTTAGGGTCCAGTATATTTAAATATTCAGGGATTTCCACTGGAACGTTATGAAGCAAGGTCCCTCAGTTTCACAGAAGAACTTGCTTTTTGGACACTGCCTTTGAATGAGGTTAACTTGGTCTGCGATGTTGCTGTAGCAGAAGGTACAGTAAAATATTTGTAACTTTTGCAAGATCCCTCTTATTGTACAATAAAAGATTCACTGGAGAAAACAAGGAATTGGACAGATGAGATCATAGCTGTTCCCTAATATTCAGTATTATGTAACTTGTACAGGCAGTCCCCGGGTTACGTACAAGATAGGGACTGTAGGTTTGTTCTTAAGTTGAATCTGTAGGTACGTCTAGACTACATGCCTCTGGCGACAGAGGCATGTAGATTAGGCTACCCGACAGAGTAAAATGAAGGAAAACAAGGAATTGGACAGATGAGATCATAGCTGTTCCCTAATATTCAGTATTATGTAACTTGTACAGGCAGTCCCCGGGTTACGTACAAGATAGGGACTGTAGGTTTGTTCTTAAGTTGAATCTGTAGGTACGTCTAGACTACATGCCTCTGGCGACAGAGGCATGTAGATTAGGCTACCCGACAGAGTAAAATGAAGTGGCGATTTAAATAATCGCCGCTTCATTTAAATTTACATGGCTGCCGCGTTGAGCCGACAAACAGCTGAT